GGCATCCTCAGCGACCTGGGGGAGTTCGTGAGCAGTCAGTCGGAGGATTACATCATAGGTGGGGACTTTAACTTCGGGCCAGACTTGTTAGAAGGCATGGGATTTGCTAAAGCTGTGGGGGGTCTCCTGATCACCACCCCCGACAATACCCACTATCCTTCCTTGGGTGACCCAGCCAAGTTTGACTACTTCGTGGTCTCGTCCCCCCTGGCCAAGGGCCTCAGCGAGGCCAAAGTCCGTCTGGACACGACGCTCAACCCCCACCGCCCCGTGTCGCTCACTTTTCACCCCCGTCTGCGTCAATTGAAGGCTCTCGCCTTTCGCAAGCCGCCGCCCTTGCCTGTGGACCCCCCGTTCGGCCCCAGGCCGCAGGAGTGCAGCACTGATTGGGATCTGGTGCTTGACCTGGTCAATACTGCTGTGGACAGAGTGTCCCTTGGGGACGGTGACGGGGCTGCTGCCCGGCTCTCTGAAGGGTACGGTCTCTGGGCGAATAGAGCTGAACTTGATCTTGCGCGGGTCCTGGGGGCCGACCTCCCTGTCTATGGGTCCCGCGGAAAAACTATTGAGACGTTTTGGAAGCCCATCTGCCAGGCGTGTCCTCCTTCCAAGGACCCCGTTTCCCGCGGTCTGAAGTGGTTGGAGACCCAGCTCAAGGCCTTGAGATCTGAGGTATCAGCACACAACGTTCCACTACGGTGCATCAAGGCCTTGTGCTCTCCGCCGCCGTGCGCTGGCACGGCTCGTGCCTGTCATGCTGGACTATTTCAACGTGCCACCAGCTTAGCTGCCTCCTGTGCTGATCGACTGGCTGGTCGCAAGCACTCGTCCGTTTGCTCTGCTCCGTCTGGAGCGTTTCCTCCTCCCCCCGTTTTGCCCGTCGCGCTCGATAATCAGTGTCAGGACAAGGCGGATCAGGACACGCGGTCCCCGCCTGCTTTCTCGGATTGCGTGGCTGATGTTGATCAGCTGCTCGCATCTCTCGCGCCGTGCCTAGAGGAGGCCGCTAAGGACTTTGCTAAGGCTAACAAGCGCCGCTGGCGAGAATGGCTCCAAGAAGGTTTGGACAAAGGGGGCAGGCGGGCCCATCGCGTTCTTAGAGACCCCACTCCTTGGGTTCCCTCGGTCACCATTGCTGCGAACGGCCAAATTGTGGCGGACCCCAGGGCCCTTTTGTCTGCCGAAGGGCAGCGATTTCAGGCGTGGTGGGGGGAGGGGAGCGGGCCTCCTGCGGGCCCTGTTCGCTTGGTCACCCCCCTGCCCCGCCTCTCCCCTGATGAGATCCGCCAGGTCTGCAAGACCTACCGTAAACAGAGTGCGGTTTCGGTTGACGGTTTCCACCTGCGTCATTATTCGTTTTTGTGTGACGCCGCCCTCATTGCTCTCTCGGGTCTCCTTTTCGTCATCGAAGCCACGGGGAGGCTTCCTAATCAGTTAATGGTTGTTCTTTTGGCCCTCCTGCCCAAACCTGTCGGGGGCTTCAGGCCCATCGGCGTTTTTGTTTCGTGGCATCGGCTTTGGGGCCGAGCCAGGAGGCCTTTCGCTCTCGATTGGGAAAAGAAGTTCGCGAGGCCCTATTGGGCTGCTGGAGCCAATCGGGGCGCCACGGATGTTGTCTGGAGGCAGAGCTTCAAAGCCGAAGCGGGAGTTTCCAAGGGCCTCACTTCAGGGTCAGTCTTTTATGACCTTCAGAAGTACTACGAGAGCATCTCCCTTGTTTTCCTCGAGAATCAGTGCCAATGCCTCGACTTCCCCGTAGTCATCACCAGGGTCGCCATGGCGGCCTATCGCTCGTGCAGGTTTCTCAGCCTTGGGGGCATCATCGAGGGGCCGTACTGGGTCAGTTGTGGGGTCGTAGCCGGGTGCTCGATGGCCACTTCGTTCATCCGAGTTTTCGCTCTTAAGGCATTCGATAAGTTGTGCAATGGCTTGGCTAGTGGCACTGATTTCGACGCCTACATTGATGACACGTGCCTCTCGCACACGGGCACGGTCCCCGAAGTCGTTGAGGCACTAGTTTCTTCCTCTGTCAGCTTACACAAGGCTGTCACCCAAGAGCTAGGTTGTGTGCTGGCGCTCGACAAAGTGGGATGTGTATGCAGCCACAAGTCAATTGCCATTCAGCTCGAGGAGCGACTGGGAGAGTTGCGCGGCAAGCCCTCGGCCTCGGTGGTCAATTTGGGTACTGACTACACGGCGGGCCGCTCATTACGCACCACGACCCCAGGCTCAAAAAAGGGTAAATCAGCCAAACTCAAGGCTCGTCAGGCCAAGTTTTTTCGTCAATGCAGGCGCATCGACAAGCACAAAAGCAACCTGGGCAGGTCCGCTGTCAGGATTTTTGCGTCGGGCCCGCTGGCGGGCGTCACCTTTGGGTCTGAAATTTGGGGAGTTTCGGACCGCGAGCTCCACTCGCTCAGGAGTAAGGGCATGGCCACTATCTCTCCCAAATCCCAGCACCGTTCCCTCACCACCCTCTCGCTCCTTGAAGGGGACCCCCCTTGGAGAGCGAGTGTGGCCCCTATCATTCGTTGGTGCAAAGAGCTGTGGCTTGTGCAGACTAAGGCTTTTGATGGGGCCCTGTCGTTTGCTTCGTTGCGTTCGGCCTGGGAAGTCACCTTCGGCAGGGATGACTGGTCCTGGGCCAAAGTGAGGGGTCCTGTCTCGGCCCTCAGGATGTCTCTTTACCGCTTAGGGTGGCAGATGACGGACTTCTGCACCATTATCTCTGACCTGGGTGAGACCCTCCAGCTCCTGCTTCTGTCTCCCCGCCTTGTGGGGGCTTTGTGTCGGGCTGCCGTCTTGAGGGGGCTTGAACGGTCTTCGGGGGAGAAGCTGGGGGTCGAGCACAGGCTCTGCTGGGACATTGTCAAATCCTGTATCAGGTCTAAACGCACCAGCCCTAAGGATAGGTCGACAATGCGCGCATTGGCCTGTAACGCCATTTGGACCGCCAGTTCCGCGAAGCTAGCTGGCTACCAGATTAGCGACATCTGCCAGCTGTGCCAGTCCGAGGTTGACACATTGTGGCACCGGCTTTGGGAGTGCCCTTCGTGCTCTTCTGTGCGTGAAGAAATTGCTGATGACGAGATTATTGCCAGTGCCCTCGACACTGCATCTGAGGGTTACGAGACCACTCTCTGGATATATGGAGCCTTTCGGCATCCTGGTGACTACTTCCCTCGGCCCGAGTGCAATGGAGAAGTCTTGGTCAACTGGATGGTCCCTGAGGTCACTATCCCTGGGTCCCTGGGCCCCACGCCTACCTCTCCTGACTTAGGGGTCTGGGGGTCTTTGTTCATTGATGGCTCTTGCATCCGCCACCCTGTGTCCGAACTCTGCAGGAGCGCTTGGTGTGTTGCCATGGTGGACCCCGAGGCCAATTTAGTCTGTGAAGTTTCTGCCCCTGTTCGGCCCCCCTACGCGCAGTCGCCCCAAGCTGCTGAGTATTCTGCCTTTTGTGGCATTGGCGTGTGTGTAGGGGGCCAGGCTGACGCTTACAGTGACTGCGCTAATGTCGTGAAACAGTACTCCCTAGGCCTCGACGTGTGCAAGTCTCCCAAGCGGGTTCATTCAGGGCTCATGTTGCAAGGCTTGTCTGTGGGGCAAGGGAAGCTGCCCTCGCTGGCCAAAGTCGATGCCCACCTCGATCCTGACGCCCCTGATCTCTCTGAGGATGAAAGATTTTTGAGGAAGGGCAACGAGCTAGCAGATGCTGGAGCCAAGCGTGCAGTCGCCCGACACCCTGCCTTTGACCCCAGTCTGTCTCAGGAGCTCGACTGGAAAATTAAGGTGTCTAAGACGGTGATGTCCCTTGGTGCTGCCCTCCTCCCCCTTTGGCCTCGCGTGGAGTTCCTCGGGGTGGAGCGTGTTCCTCGTCCTCCCGCCCCAGCCGTGCATCGGCTGCAGCACCAATGGGAACTCATCAGTTCAGTTTGGAGGTGCAGAGTTTGCCTCCTAGGGTCCCTCTCTAAGCGCCCGCCTGTTCCAGGGGGGTGCAGGGGCCACTCCAGGCTCGACTCTGCAGTTTTGGACAGGTTGGGGCATAAAGTCATCGCTCTAGCCTGCTCCGATAACTCATTCTTGTTCACTTGCCTGCACTGCAGGAGTTATAGTTCTGGGGCCCAGGTCAAGAAGCTGGGCCAACTGCGTCAGCCGCCGACGGTCACAGGTCACAAGAACTGGAGGAAGATCCAGAAGGGCAGCCATCCAGATAAACCACACGTGGTGGTAGAGACTGGCTGCTCTTTGCCTGTCTCGGCGTCGCTCGGCCATCTCACCTCTTCCCCGCTCCCTCGTGAGCCTCCCCTCCCTTCCCCTCCCGCCCTCGCCCCTCCCTCAGGGGCGAGGTCAGGTCAGGCCTCTGCCGCTGGAGGCCGGCCCGTGCAGCGTGCCCCGCCAGGCGGGGCCCTCGCTGCTTCGGAGGGGCGGGAGGAGGAGGACGAGGCCGCGCGTGTTCTTTTCTCGGGGCCATCCAGGACTCGGTTTTCGAGCGATTCGGACTGAGCCCGTTTATCCTGCCAGGGGTGTCTCGCTCTGCCAGGTTTCAAATCATTCCTGAGACATAGCCGTGGACGGCAAAAAAAAAAAAAAGAGGAGGAAGAGCAGGAGCAGGAGGAGGAGGAGGAGCAGGAGCAGGAGGAGGAGGAGCAGGAGGAGGAGGAGGAGGAGGAGGAGGAGCAGGAGGAGGAGGAGGAGGAGCAGCAGGAGGAGGAGGAGGAGGAGGAGCAGGAGGAGGAAGGATGGGATGTCAGCAGGCGTGCGCTCCCGAAGCGAACGAGGCGGAGGCGGACGGCGCCGCCCAGACTCGGGCCAGCTGCGCCACCGCCCGCCCGGGAGGAGCACGCTGCCGAGCGCCAGCCGGGGAGGAGAGAAGGCAGCGGGGCACGTGCCCTTGGCTGGCGTGCCTCGTCCTGCTCGTCCAGAGCAAGGAAGAATAGACAACGCCATCGGGGACCGGGAGCCTCGCGCGGCGGGCTGCAGGCCCTCCCCCCGCCCAGGTCTCAGCTCGGGGTCCCCGGCCAGTCCTGGCTCCTCAGCTTCGGCGGCGACTGCCAGGGCTTGCAGGACCGCGCGGTGCTTCGGTATTCCGACGACGGCGGTGGCGCTGGCAGCGGCGGCGGCGACTTGATGGCAATTTGTTGGCGGTTTAGGACTGGAGCCATCGATGTTCCCTCCCTTCCAGGCCTTCGCCAGGAAGGGAGGGCGGGAAATAGTTATTCGTAGGTAGGCGCGTCGACAAAACGGCGGCAAGCCGAATTAAAAGAGGTAAGAGGAGAACGGCAGCACTCCTAGCGACAAAAGCACCCCACAGCCCTTATCCTATCATTAGTATCCTCCTCCTCCTGCTCCTCCTCCTCCTCCTCCTCCTCCTCCTCCTCCTCCTCCTCCTCTTCCTCCTCCTCCTGCATCCCATTCCGCCCGCAGGGGCCCGCCCTCCCCAGACATATGCGACGTCTCCAGTTTTTCAACGCGGGGTCCCCGGAAGTCCCGACCCTTCCCCGGGGCTGGGTTTTCATCCTGAGTCGTTGTTTGACGGTCCTGGAACCCAGCGAGGGCTGGCCCACAGAGGCCGAACATTGTATATCTGCGCATATATATATATATATATATATATATATATATATATATATATATATATATATGTATCGGAGGCGAGGGGGTGAGATCGCAGTGGAACGGAGAGCCCCCCACCGGGAAATCGGTTTCGGTTTCGTGTTCGTGTCGTGCGTGCGGGCGAGGCGAAGTTGCGTGGGCGGGCGAGAGGAATTCACTCTGCTGTCGCTAGGGGTCCGCCAACACAAATGTTTCCCCCCCCCGGCTTTGTCAAGCGGGGGCCCACATTGTCCCGTCGGTGGCTCGCCGTTGTCCCGTCGGTGTCCTGTCGTGAGATCGATAGTGAGATCGACTGTGAGACCGATCGTGAGATCGATAGTGAGATCGATAGTGAGAGCGGTAGTGACACCGAATGTGAGATCGATTGTGAGATCGATTATGATATCGATTGAGATCGATAGTGAGACCGAATGTGAGATCGACAGTGAGACCGAATGCGAGATCGATAGTGAGATCGATAGTGAGATATATTGCGAGATCCATAGTCTGATAGTGGGATCGATCGTGAGATCGATGGTGAGATCGATAGTGAGATCGATTGCGAGACCGAATGTGAGACCGAATGTTGGATCGATAGTGATATCGATGGTGAGATCGATAGTGAGATCGATCGCGAAATTGGTAGTGACACCGAAAGTGAGATCGATTGTGAAATCTAATGTGAGATCGATAGTGGGATCGATAGTGAGATCGATTGTGAGATCGATTGTGAGACCGATTATGAGATCGATTGAAAGATCGGTAGTGAGACCGATTGTGAGATCGATTGTGAGATTGATTGTGATATCGATCGTCAGTTCCATAGTGAGACCGAATGTGAGATCGATAGTGAGATCGATTGTGAGATCGATTGTGGGGTCGATGGTAAGATCGATTGTGAGATCGATAGTGAGATCGATACTGAGATCGATAGTGCGGTCGATAGTGAGATCGATTATGAGACCGAATGCGGGATCGATGGTGAGATCGATAGTGAGACCGAATGCGAGACCGAGTGTGCGATCGATTGTGAGATCGATAGTGGAACGGAGTGTGAGATCGATAGTGATATCGATAGTGAGATCGACTGAATCAGATCGATAATGATATCGGTTGTGAGACCGATTGTGACATCGATAGCGAGATCGATAGTGTGATCGATCGAGTGATATCGATAGTGAGATCGATAGTGGGATCGATCGCGAGATGTATTGAGTGACGCGTTGGTTCCTCCTCCCCCTCTCACCTCCTTATCACCCGAAGGGTGGTCGTATAGGTATATATACACACATACATATACACAACAAACAAACAAACAACAAACAAACACACAAACCAACAAACAAACACAACAACAACGACAACAACAACCACCACAGCAACAACAACACGAAACGACAACCACAATAACAAAACAAACAACAACAACAACAACAACAACAACAACAACAACAACAACAACAACAACAACAACAACAATTACTAGCACGTGGGGACACTCCGTTCTCACCAGTGCCAGGGTTTTCATAGGAGGCGGGCAATACCCCCACTTTGTGGGGGGGCCGGTTCAAGCTCTACCAAATTTCCAAACGACTCTTCGCCACCACCCACACCCAGCTTCCCGCCCTATGACGTTCGGACACTTCACTTCGTGGCATGCGGACGACCGTGGCTACTATTCAGGGCCCCGCGGCCGACGACGACGGCGTGCGCGCGCGAAGAAAAAACGAATGTGTCCCGCATGGTATTATTTGACAGGGATGATGGCCCTGGCAGGTGCGCAACCGTTGTTGCAGAAGTTCGAAAAAGTTGCTCGCAAAAGCCCGTTTGACAGAAATGTTTAAAAAGTGTTGGGTTTCCTACGAATCCGCAAGAGCGCGCGGGATGAGATTTTGACATTTTTTGTTGAAAAACCATTGGTTTTTTGATGTTTTTATGTTAAAATCGCTGCGAACACTAAGGTTTTGGAAGGATTTCGTCTTGCGCGCGCGAATGTCCACTTTACCTTATTTTTTGCAAGGGATTCTTGAAATTTGATTATATTAGAACAAGAAATGTCATTTTCTATTGTTTTTTGCAAGGGAAAGCGGATTACAACAAAACAACCGGATCCTGTACACACCCTCTTTTCTGAGGCTTCCTCACGAAAATGATGAAAATGTAGCTGCGGCCTAGGCGGCGCAGGGGGGGCGCGCACCAGGGGGCCCAACAATAATTATTCTTTAGAATAAATAATGTTCAACAACAACAATCAGTTAAAGTCTGTTCGCCCTTATCTGCTCGAGTGTCGAATAACGCGAATTTCCCAAGCCCTCGATACCCGCCCTTTTCGTCTTCGATCGAACCCCTTTTGGGGGGTAGACCTTTCTTCCCTGCAGGCCGGGCCCCGGCAAGCGGCGGAGCGGCCGCGGACCGTCGGCCTGGCCAGCGGCAGCGCTGATCGGCGGGGCGGCTGCGGACCGTCGACCCGACCCCAAGGGGGACGGACAGGGGACCGACCACGACGACGACGACGACGACGACGTCGACGACGACGGCAACGACGGCGACGGCGACGACGACGACGAGCGAAAGCGAGAGCGAGAGAGAACGACAGCAGAGCCACGAAGGACACGAAGTAGGCCACGAAGGGCGACAGCGGGGACACGAAGGAATGCGTATGGGGCCACGAAGAGCGCGAACGAGCGTGGGCCACGAAGGGCAGATAATGCGGGGCCACAGAAGGCAACGATGGGGCCACTGAGGGTAGCACCTGGGCCACGTAGGACAATGAGGGGGCCACAAACGGCGACAGCGGGGCCACGAAGGGCATGCACATGGGGCCACAACGGGCGCGAACGAGCGGGGGCCACGAAGGGCATACGTATGTTGGGCCGCGGAGGGTACGGACGGGGCCACTGAGGGCAGCAACGGGGACACGAAGGGCAGCGATGGGGCCACGAAGGGCGACAGCGGGGCCACGAAGGGCATGCATATGGGGCCACCACGGGCGCGAACGACAGCAGGGCCACGAAGGGCATACATATATGGGGCCACGAAACAAAATGAGGGGGCCACGAAGGGCTGCAACGGGGCCACGAAGAACAGCGAGGGGGCCACGAAGGGCTGCAACGGGGCCACGAAGGGCAACGAGGAGGCCACGAGGGGCTGCAACGGGGCCACGAAACAAAGCGAGGGTGCCACGAAGGGCAGCGAGGGGGCCACGAAACAAAACGAGGGGGCCACGAAGGGCTGCAACGGGGCCACGAAGGGCAGCGAGATCCCGATTCCTAGGTAATCTGTGAAGGAGTCCTAGGCGTGAGCGCGACTCCTGGGTGCCTGGGTGTCGGGAGCGCGGCGCTGGAGTAAATTGCAGGAAATTCCAACGCAAGGGCGCTATTTTTCAGTAAATTGCAAGCAAGTCTCCAGCGAGAGCGCGACTCCAGAGCGCAGGAGGAGCGATTCCATAATAAATCATAAGGAAGTCCCAAGCGAGAGCGCGGTTCTTGAATAAAATGCGAGGAAGTCTCTGGCAGGAGCGGGGGTCCTGGCTAAATTGTGAGGAAGTCTCAGGCGGGAGCCGTTGTTGTTGTTGTAACTTGGGGGCCAGGGGGCCAGTTTGAGCAGGAAGACTTTCCTTGACAAAAAACACGGTGCGAGCCCCGGGGGGCCTTTCAATTTAAAAAATCAATGTGCACCGGTGGGGGGGATCAACACTAATTATTGTTCAAGAATGAGAGCTCAACAACAACAACAACAACAACAACAACAGCAGCAACAACAACAACAACAACAGCAACAACAACAACAGCAACAGCAACAGCAACAGCAACCACAACAACGACAACGACAACGACAACAACAAGAACAACCACAACAACAACAACAACAACAACAACAACAACAACAACAACAACAACAACAACAACAACAACAAGAACAACGGCAACGATTTGGGTTCAGAGCGCGAGCACGTCTGGGTCAGTAGCCCTGTGGGCCTCCCGCACTTTTGGTAGGTGGGTCTCTCAAGCTCTCCGCCGCCTCAGGCGGTGTGGTTGCGCCTCGGCGTTGCTGCGCTCTTGCTCGCAACGGACACCGCCAAAGAGATCCTCCTCCTCCTCCGCCTTCCTCCTCCTCCTCCTCCTCCTCCTCCTCCTCCTCCTCCTCCTCCTCCTCCTCCTCCTCCTCCTCCCTCCTCCTCTCCTCCTCCTCCTCCTCCTCCTCCTGCAAATCGACGCGGACCCCCTCCCCCTCCCTTCTCCTCCCGCCCTCCCTCCCCTCCTCCTCGAGGAAGAGAAAGAGGAGGAGGAGGAGGAGGAGGAGAGGGAGGAGGAGGAGGAGGACGAGGACGACGAGGACGAGGAGGAGGAGGAGGAGGAGGAGGAGGGAGGGAGGCGGCGGAGAGCTCGAGAGATCCATCTACCACAACAAAGCCCCCGCGGTGCACGTCGCGCCCGGCATCGAGGGGGGCCCCTCGCCCTCGAGGGGGGGCCCTCGCCTCGAGGGGCCCCCTCGCCCTCGAGGGGGGCCCCTCGCCATCGAGGGGGGCCCCCTCGCCCTCGAGGGGGGCCCCTCGCCCCGAGGGGGGCCCCCTCGCCCCGAGGGGGCCCCTCGCCCTCGAGGGGGGCCCCTCGCCCTCGAGGGGGGCCCCTCGCCCTCAAAGGGGGGCCCCGAGGAGCCGGCCGAGAGGGGGAGCCCGCGGCGCCCGGGCTCCTCGGCTCGGCGGATCGAGCGGGGGGCATCGAAGGAGAGGGCCTTCGTCCTGGTGTGCCTCTACAGTGGACGCGCGACTTTGCTCAGGGTACCCTTGGAGGTTTTCGTCTTTCGCCGCCCCAAAAGTCCCAACTTCGGCTTCCAAGGGTCTTGCGTCCTTACCGCGCGTCCTTATTAGGATTTTTGCTTGTAAGCCCATCAGACAATGGTCTGAGAACCTGTTGTGTGGTCTGCACGAAGTGTTCTCAGACCAGTTCTGGCCGAGGCTGTCTTGTTGGAACACCTCGGGTTTAGGTTCTAAGAACATTGTTTCTGTGATTCGGACATGTCTGGGACATTTCGTGGTAGGCCTACGGAGGACATGCGGAGGAGAAGGCCTTCTCGGAAGGCGGGGGGGGGTCTCTTCAGTCAGGCGATCGCAAACACGGATCAAGGGGGCGTGGATTAGCGACGGGTCCCGTTTCCGTGGGAAGTCGCGGATTTCCGCCGCCGAGCGAGGCGGCACCGGCCGCATTTTGGGGAGGGCGCGTCCCCGGATCCATGGATTTGGCGACTGCGCGCCAAATCCATGGATCGTTAATCCATGTTTGCGCGCCCCCGATTCAGAAGCTCTAGGCCTCCTAGATGAGGTCGGAGTAGATGGGGTCGGAGAATCGCGCCGCATCGGCATCGCCGATACGGCTCGATGCGGAGCCCGATTTTCTCCACGTCGGCCGCCGATGCGTCGCCCCGACGTCGGCGATGCATCGTCGGCGCGATCCTCCGACCCCATCCACTCCTACCCCATCTAGGAGGCCTCTAGAAGCCCTCCGGCCTTCTGAGAAGTTTTCTGCGTCTTCGGGGAAGCCTTAGAAAATTTCTCCGAAGACCGGAGGGGCTTCCGAGCCTTCTGAGAAGGCCCGCTCCTTCTCACCCTCCCCCCTCGCGCGCCTCAGATCGGCGGAAGGCTGGCGGTGGGTCGGGAGCCTTGAGACGGGGGTCAGTGCAAACGAGGGTCAGCCAGGGCGCTAGATTTTGCAGGATCCTGCAGAGCCAGGGGTGCACTGACCCGGGCTAGCGCGCAGGATCCTGCAGGATCTTGCAAATCCTGACTGGCCCGTGTTTACATTGACCCAGGTCAGTAGGTCCCCGAGTATGGCTCCTCCGGCGGAAGCAAGATGAGACGGAGGCAGAATCGAGACAAGATCGGACAGGTCATTAGGTCGGAAATCTCTGAGAGTCGGCGGGCTTGGAGGATGCATCGGGCGCCGCGGCCGTCTCAGAGCGTTCCGGAACGCTCTGAGAGCGTTCTGGAACGCTCTGGAACGGATTCATGTCGGTTCTAGGCCCGTCCGATAAGAGCTCCACCCCCCCCAAAGAGGGATGGCATCATTGGGGAGATCCACCGTTGCTGGAGCTTGACGCGTAGGGCACTCCAGAGAGGGCCGCGAGCTTGCGGAAGGTTGGCGGGAGCTGACGGAAGCAAGACGAGGGCGGCTGCGCCGGCGGAAGCTGGCGGGAGGCCGGCAGAAGCTGGCGGAAGTAAAAGTCGGGCGTCTGGACGCCCGAAATGGGCACGGAAAGAATGGGTACAATGCCCAACAACGGATCCAGTTCATTTTGAACAGGATCCGCTGTCTACGCCGCCGCGGCCTGTGTCCATTCGAGACAGAGGGCCGCCTGCCCAACAGCGGCCGCTGTTGGTCTGGGACAACATTTATTGTTGGGCATTGTACCCATTCTTTCCGTGCCCATTTCGGGCGTCCAAAGGGCGGGTGGCAGTGGAGGGTGATCCAAATGGGGGGCAAAGAACAAAAAACAACAAAAGAGGCCCTTTAGGGCCCCTCTGGGGCACCAACTGGCTCCAGAAGGGGCCCCGAAGGGCCCCTTCGGGTCCCCTCTCTTCCCCCCCCCATGTGGGTCACCCACCACTTCCACCCGCCCGAAACAGTCTACTCCCCAAGAGATGACGACATGTTCGAGTTCATGGATTCCGGAGCCCGCGGTGTTAGACAAACACGGATTGAAAGTTGACATTCTACATCGCGCCGTCAGTATGGTCCTAGCAGGCCGTCGCATTCGCATACCATGGTGTGTTGCGACAGACCAGCGATTTAGCGTCTCATGCCATGACTGAGGATGGCGCCCACCCTTGGCGTCGCACATCATCAGCACAGCAGGACTAGCGGTGCACCTAGACTCCAGGTCATGGCACAAGCATGCGTGTAAGCAGTGTAAGCATTACGACTACAACAAACGGGCACCATACCATGGCATGAAATAACTTATGAGTGCGCCCACCATGGGCACCACAGCACGCTACGCACGATGACTCCAAGCAAAAAGCAAAAATAGCGCAGAGGAAACACAGGGCCACGCTCGTCGATGCACATGGGAGTGCGGGCACCCGTTCTTGCGCCAGCTTGGCCGCCTCAGCCGCAACAACGTTCGGTCGTTTTATTCGGCGGCCAGCGAGGGGTGGAAATGAGAAGGAGAAGGCCTTCTCAGAAGGCGGCGGGGCTTCTCAGAAGCCCTCGCGCCTTCTGAGAAGTTTGCTTTGTCTCCGGGGAAGGCTTGGGAAATTTCTCAGAAGGCTGGGGGACTTCGGAGCCTTCTGAGAAGGCTTCCTCCTTCTCGCTCCCCCCCTCGCTCGCCGCCGATGCATCATAGGTCGACCTCGCTTTCACGGCAGGTGGGCCCCCCAGCCCTGAATCATCAGAGCGTGAATTACCTACCCCGCTTTCGCTTCCAGGCAAAACCAAGGCATACCTCTCCTCGTCAAGCGGCCTGACCAGTACAGGCTGCAATTTGGCATCGTTTGGTATCTCTTGGAAGCGAGGGTGGTCAAAAGCGAGGTAGGTTTGTTTTCCCCCTACTGAAAGGACACGCCCGGGAACAGCCTGGACACCATGTGCCTGTTCTGCCTGCATAGCCAGGCGAGCTTGGCGGGCGTGCGCCGGGCTCGGATGCAAGCCTGGGCTGGGAGCGCGTTGATCAGGAGGGAAAGAAACACACAGGCACAATGAATCGTCGATCTCCCAGAAAATGTAGGAAAATATGGGAAGTGGGGGGGAAGACAAAAACCCGGTCAATATGGGAAAATATTGGGAATCCTTTTATTTTTGTGTGTTTATTTGTGTGTCCCAGTTTCCCTTCAGTTGATGCCCGCTCGCCGCTCCCCGAGACAATGACGGAGCAGCTTGCGTGCCTGTTTGCTTGGCTGCCTGCTGGAGGGATGGCCCGCCTTTACAGTTTGCCGGAGTTTGCTAGGCTCAAGTCGGGCCTGCCCCTCTACAGGGAGAATATTCAAGAATAGTCAAATAATAGTCTGGGGGCGACTTTTTGACCATGTTGGAGCATCTTCGAGTATGTTTGGGATATTTGTTATTTTCCGTCGAAAATCGGACTGTAGGGGGACAGGCCCGACCTAATGCTAGGCACATGAGAGTCAAACCTCCCCAGTCGTGGATTGGACTTGACCCACTCACGCTGAAACGACAAAGATTCTTGCATCAAGAGCGGGGTTCCAGTTGTTGCAGACAGCTTTCGTTGGTGCACTTCCAGTTTGTGGTTGATGTCTCCGAGAAAGATCATTGTGCGGCCCGTGTGACCGATGTCTACGGGAACGTTGACCACTCAATCAGACCAGTTGGCAGGCGGGCATTACATGTACGGCCATATCTCTGCTGATGATTGTTGTACACGTTGGAAGGAATTGCCCCGACTGGTTTTGGCTGGGGGGGGTGACCGCAGGGTTGGTTGGGTTTGTGTTGAGGGTCGATTGGGGTGGCGACTGCGCTTCTGGTGCCTCATACGGTAAGATTCGCATTTCGTCGCCGATCAACTAGTCAAATATATCCAGTCGCCAGCCGCAAATCCCCGCCACTGTGCGAGCCCAGCATTCTGGGTAGCGGCGGCTCGAGGAGACACGGGAGGCTGTCACGTGTGGCACCTCGTGTCTCCATGGTTGGGAGAGTCGTGACGATGATGATGATGATGATGATGATGGTGATGATGATGGTGATGGTGGTGGTGGTGGTGATGATGGTGATGGTGATGGTGATGGTGTTGTTAACGATGATGATGATGATGATGATGATGATGATGATGATGATGATGATGATGATGATGATGATGATGATGATGATGATGATGATGATGATGATGATGATGATGATGATGATGATGATGATGATGATGATGATGATGATGATGATGATGATGATGATGATGATGATGATGATGGTGGTGGTGGTGATGCTGATGATGATGGTGATGATGATGATGATGGTGGTGATGCTGATGATGATGGTGATGATGATGGTGATGGTGATGGTGGTGGTGGTGATGATGGTGATGGTGATGGTGATGGTGATGGTGATGGTGCTGTTAACGATGATGATAATGATGATGATGATGATGAGAATGATGATGATGATGATGATGATGATGATGGTGGTGGTGGTGATGATGATGATGATTGTGATGCTGATGATTGTGATGATGATGATGGTGGTGGTGATGATGATGGTGGTGGTGGTGGTGACGTTGATGTTGATGTTGTTGATGCTGATGTTAACGATGACGATGATCATGATGATGCTGATGCTGATGGTTGTGGTGGTGATGGCGATGGTGATGGTGATGGTGATGGTGATGATGAGACTGATGATGATGATGATGATGATGATGATGATGATGGTGGTGGTGATGGTGGTGATGATGGTGATGGTGATGGTGATGGTGATGGTAATTATGATGATAATGGTGATGATGGTGGTGATAGTGGTGATTAGGATGATGGGGATGGTGGTAGTGATGGTGTTGATCATGTTGATGATGATGACGAGGAGGAGGAGGATGAAAAGGAAGAGGAAGAGAAGCAGGACGAGGAGGACGAGAAGCAGGAGGAGGAGGAAGAGGAAGGCCGTCACACATGGCAGCTTTCGTCTTTACTAGTTGATGGGGCTCTCATGGAACTCTTTCGGGCCGTCTTGGGACTGCCTTGGCAACCTGTGAGGCAGTCACGGGGTCCCCTGGGGCCGCCTTGGAGTCCTCTTACGCCGTCGTTGGAATCCTCGTATGCTGCCTTGGAGCCCTCTTGGGCCGCCCTGGGATCCTCGTGGCCGTATGGTGGGTGCCTGGGGGCCGTCGTGGGGCAATCGAGGTGCGTTCCTCGGCCGCCTTGGGTCCCGTGGGAGGCCCTCGTTGGCCGCCTTGGACGCCTCTCGGGCCATCGTGGGGCCTCTTCGGCTTTCGCTGGACCCTCTTGGGGGCCGTCGTGGGGCCATCGTGGAGGCTTCTCCCGTCGCCTTGACCTGGCGGAAGCCCGAAAAGGCGACAACGTGAAAGCCAGTGGGAAAAAAACCAACTGGAAATCAACGAGCTCGGTTTCCTCGGACCGTGCTGGAGGTCCTCGTGTGGCCCTTTTGGGCCTCGTGGGGGGCACCCTGGACAGTCCTGAGGCCATAGTGGGCCGCCGTGGGGCTATGTTTGGGCCGTCTTCGAGGCATCCTTGGTCATGCTGGTGTCTCTGGCTGTCGGCATGGGCCACCCTGGAAGCTCGGGGCGCACATCCGTCGCTTGTCCTGGGGATCGCGGCCTCGGGTGCGCGGCCCCATCGTTTTTCACGATGGATCGTGGCCTCGGGAGTTGGGGGGGTCGGCGCATGCAGACGGGCGCAACTGAGGGGGAGGGGGGCCTTTTCGTATGCAGAAACCTGACCAGGCAGCCGGTGGCATTCTTCTGCGCCTCAACGTGCACAAGGCACGGTGGCGGAGTTTTAAATCGTCTTCAACATGTTGCGTGATGCATCCGTTCACACATTGCGTTGCACACGTGTATTCAAAGTGTCGGGTGAATGCCCCGAAAGATCCCAGCCGTCATTATCGTTGCATGTAGGAGGCACGCGCAAGCAATACTTTGAAAGGAACTGGTGCTTGCCCACCGCAAGCACTTGATGGATCAGTGACGTTGTACCCCCAGACTCCCGAGACCACTGGACATGCATTTGAGCTTGGCTCATGCGGTTACGATGCAGTTTTGACGTTCATGAACGGGAATGGTTGAACCCTTATTGCGTTGGTTCCCCGCACCTGAATTTCCGATCGTGTACACTTGTGTTTTATTGGGCAGATGTGCACCGCCAAAACACGTCTTGAATTGGGTGCCCACGCAAGTCGCAACCATTGGTCTTGCAGCTCCCTTACCGCAAGAGTGCGCCTTCCTACGTCATAGGTCATCACATGTTATGTTATGTTAGTTTGCACATAGATTCATTGGGCACCAAAGCGTGGAATGGAGGGGGCATGCATCACAGCAGATGGCAACGCCAGCGCAGGCGCCGACCGCGTCGCCTTTTTCTACGAGTGTTGCTTACACGTTGTCGCTACAGGTCAAAGGAGGTCATTGACGGGCTCTGGTTCACGAGCCTCGCCGAGGCACAGACCGCCGTGAACAAGGTGAGCGCGTTTGCAGGACAAGTAGGAGGAGTGGACGGAAGACCAGAAAACGCGTAGGAGGTACAGCTTGTTTTCCGCGCCAGGGATCTCGGAGTTTAGGGGGCAGCGGGGCTTGTACGGTGTTCCGGGAAGGTGCCCAGCGTACAGAGAGCTCGCGTCTGGGGTGTTGCCAGGGGTGTCTTTGGCCCGCCCCAGGGGTCTCCACGATTTCCCAGGAGACCCCCAGGGCTTCCCGAGCGCCCTTTATGGAGGTCAGGGCGCCCCAAAAGGCTCCCAAATGGCACGAAAAGAAGTTGGGGACACTTCTGGGCCAGGAGCACCTTGACAGACATCCGACGATGTGCTCATGTTAACGCGGCGGCCCCACAGGTCCCGACCCCGTCCCCCCAGGGGTAGCTTCGCGCCCCCGATCTTTTTGCTGCTGCGCCCCACGGCCCCCGACTGGACCCCGGTGGCCGAAGTCGAGGACAACTGCCCAGATTTTAGTCGGGCCTGTCCCCCTACAGGGGCATTTTCGACGAAAAGTAAAAAATACCCCCAAAATAGTCCAAAAATAGTCTTTGGATTATGTTTTGGGGGTACTTGTTTGCCTTTTTGGGGTATGTTTGGGGTATGTTTTATTTTTCGTCGGAAATCCCCCTGTAGGGGGACACGCCCGACTTAAGCCCAGATGAAAAGCCAGAGGTGTGGGCCTGACGGCCCCAGGACACGCGGCCCCGGAAGGTCGGCGGGGGGGGCGCCTGGGCAGCCCGCCCCGAGCCCGGGCCCCCCCCTGACGGGGCCCGGCGGCCGCGGCGGGGCGCAGAGACCCAGAGGAAAGCTTCGCATGGATCTGTCAGGAGGGAAAAAAACACACAGACACAATTAATCGTCGAGTGAGAATATGGGAAAATAAGGGAAGTGGGGGGGAGACAAAAACCCAGAAAATATGAGAAAATATGGGAATATGTTTATTTGTTTGTATTTATTTATTCTACAGGCTTACGCCACATCCGCCGACCCCTTGTGTGACTGTTGCGAGGCCAGGAGTTTCTGGCCAGCGGCGTCTTGTGTGAGGGTGCGGTGTCGCGCGCGGGTGGTGGCAGATACGTAGGGGGTCCAAATGTTTGCGTGATGCCGGTGGTCTGGGGCGTGTTTTGCGAGCGCTTTGCGTGCTGTGCACCCGGGTGCGGGGTGTCCTTCTGGGAGGTCAGCCTTTCGACCCTCAACCAAGTGGAGGAGCACCGGAAGACGAAAGGAGCAAGAGTAGCGTGCAGAAGCTGTGATCAGCGAAGCATCACCGCGAAAGATGTGGCAGATGAGTCGAAACGGGTGAAGAGGCTGTTGACGTTCGCAGCGCGCACGAAACAGTTCGTGTGCGCGAAGTGTTTTAAAGCGGGACGAGCGCCGCGGAGAGACCCTCCGAAACGCCCGGCGGAACCAAGTGACGAGCATTGCGACAAGACACGGAAGTTGCGAGGAATCTGACCGCTGGGGACGGGATGGATAAGGGGGACGTGGAGGAGGGAGGATGGGGGAGCAGCCAAAGGCGGAGAAGGTGAAAAGTGAGCCAGGTGGAGGGAATACGAGACAGAAAGCTGAGAGGGGAGACGGGAGGAGGGGGCGGAAGAGGAGGATGAGAAGGAGCAGGAGAACACGACGAGGACGACAATGGCGGCGACAGACTCGACGGCGTAGGCTGGGCACCTTTTTGGGGCCATCTTGGGGGCTTCGTTGACCGTTGTGGGAGCCTCTGGCGCCGTCGTCGTGAGAATCCTCTCGGGGGCCTGCGGGAGGCAGTTTGGAGGCTTCTGGGGAGCTGTTTTGGGGCAGCTTGGGGCTTTTTTTGGGCTTGTTGGGGGCCTCTTGGGGGCTTCTTGGAGCCTCTTGGAGGCCTCTTGGGGCCTCCTTGGCGCCTTTTGGGGCGGAAGGCTAGAATTTTAGGTTCGTGGTCCCCGTCTGGAGCCTTTCTTGGGCCCCTCTGTGGGCCCTCTTGGACTGTCTGAAGGCCCTCTTGAGCCGTTTTGAGGCGCTCTTGGGCCGTGTTGGGGCCCACTTGGGAGCCTCTCGGGTCGTCTTGATGCCGTCTTGGGGGCTTCTTTCGCCGTCTTGGAGCGTCGGAAGCCCGAAAAAACGCGAAGGCCAAAAACGTTGAAAAAACCAATGGAAATCGACGATTTTGGCCTCTTGGGGCCATCTTGGGAGGCGTCTTGGAAGCTTCTTGGGGCGTCTTGGAGGCATCTGGGGCCATCTGGAGGCCATCTTGACCGTCTTCGAGTGTTTTTTCGGCGACTCGGGGCCCTCTTGGACCGTCTGCAGAGCTTCTTGGGAGCCTCTTCGCTCGTTTGCGGCCCCCCCAGCAGACTCTCTGGAGCGGATGACCCCCCCCGGACCGCGCCGGCGGATCCCGGGGAATCCGGCCGGACCCCCCCCCCCCCCCCTCCAAAACGACCGGACCAGGCTCCGGGGGGAGGGGTTTGGGGAGGGGGGAAGCATCTCACACGCCGATGACCCCAAGGGGTCGGCGGATTTGTGTGTCCCAGGGCCCCTTCAAAAGAGGGGGCCCCCGGTCGCCCAGGCCTTTCGACAAGGACGAGGTTTTCCCGGTGAACATTGTCAACCCGCAGGGAAAGGATGGGCAACCTTCCCAAGGGTGCCCTTGCATCCTTGCCCCTCCGGCCCATCCTTGGCCACTTTCGCTGGCCGCGCCCCGCTCGCAGAGCCTCGCGAGGGCCTTCCAAGGCCCTTGCATCCCTGTCGTGCGTCCTTAATGTGCGGGCTGACTGCAATTGCGTGTAATGCCCGCCCCTTGGCTATACATTGCCTTTCCCTCCGCCAACCGGGACGGGACGGGAGGGGTGTGGGTGAGGGGGCAGGCAGCGCCAAAGGGGTCTTATTTTTAAAGATCGAAGATCGAGAAGGTACAGTCACGGCGTCGAATGAGGAACAGTTCGGGTTCGGAAGGAGTTCGCTGTGCCTCATGTCCTTACATAACTGTTCCTCCTGCACTTGGGCGCTGTAGGGCGAAAAAATGGGCTTCACTCTTGACTTTCCCCAAACAGTGCTTGCGTTTAGGGGTTCTTACTTTGGAATACGGAGTTGGGCTGGTGTTCCGCTACGGCGACTATGTAGTCGCCGTCTCCGCCCGTCGTCTGGGCCTGTGTGCCGCTCTTGCGGCTATGCAGTCGCCCTCGCCGCCTCGTCGCCGCTATTGGAAGATTGGTTTGCGTCGTTTCGTATGGCTGTTTATTGTTTTTCGCTGCTGGGCATTACTGTGCATTGATTAAGATTGCATTGCTTTGCTGTGCGTAACACAGGTGGCACAGCATATACTGCACAACATGGGTTATACCATATTGATTGCTTCTCTTAGGTTGCGCCACATTGATTCCACAACAAAGACTGCCTAGCACCGATTGCGCAGCATAGATTCTCCTTTCTAAAAACAGACTAGACTCTACCCCACCCCCCGGGCGTTATCCGCCCCCCTTTCGGGTATGTAAATCATATATGAGTCTGACCACATGTCCATCTTAAATATGAATATACACTATCCCCGAGGGGCCGGGATCGGCCCCCCGGAGGTTCCTTTGTAAAAAAACAATACGCGGGGACATCTGTTGTTCTAACATAACACTGTTCCGCGAATCCCTGGCAAAAAATGGGACGAAGTGCACACGCGCGCGTCGTCGCGCGCGCATGTTGAAATCCTTCAAAAACTTGTGGTGCCGGAAGGATTTCGCAATCGGGTTTCCAAAAAATCATACCAAAACATAGGGTTTCGCAACATTGATTTGCTAAAAAAGCTTCCGCGCGAGCTCTTGCGAAATCTCAAGAAAACCATAGGTTTTTCAAGATTTTTACAAAATGCTACCAAACGGGTTTCGCGCGCGCGCATGTCGAAATCTGTCGAACGCCCTTGCGCGTGTGCCGTCGCGAGAATCATCGCAAAAAACGGGACGAAGTGCAGACGCGCGCGTCGTCGCGCGCGTATGCCGAAATCCTTCAAAACCCATCGGTTTCTCAAGGATTTCAAAATCGTGTGTCCAAAAATCCCACAAAAAACCCAAGGTTTCGCAACACGGATTTTCAACAAAAGCGTGCGCGCGCGCTCTTGCGTCGTCGTCGTCGTCGTCGCCGTCCTCCCTCCTCCCGCGTCGTCGTCGTCGTCGCCTACGTCGTCCTCTGTCTTTCCTCGTGTTCGTCGTCGTCGTCCTCTTTGGCGTCGTGGTCGTTTCCGTCGTCGTTGTCGCCGTGGTCGTCCTTCCTCCTCCTCCCTCGTCGTCGTCGTCGTCCGTCGTCGGCGTCTCGTCGTCGTCCCTCCTATTTCGTCGCCGTCGTCGTCGTCGTCGTTGTCGTCGTCGTCGTCTTCCCTCCTCCCTCGTCGTTGTCGTCGTCGGCGTCGCCGTCCTTCCTCCTTCTTCGTCGTTCGCGTCGTCGCCGTCCTCCCTCCTCCCTCGTCGTTGTCGTCGTTGTCGTCATTGTCGCCGTCGTCGTCCTCCCTCCTCCCTCGTCGTCGTCTTCGTTGGCGACGTCGTCGTCGTCTTCGTCGTCGTCGGCGTCGTCGTCGTCTTCGTCGTCGTCGACGTCGGCGTCGTCGTCGTCGAAGTCGTCGGAGACGTCGTCGGTGTCAGTCGTCGTCGTCGGCGTCGTCGTCGTCGACGTCGCTGTCGTCGTCGGCGTCGGGGTCGTTGCCAAGTGCCGTTTGGTACATACCGTCACGGTCTTAAGAGGTGTTGCAAACCAAGTTGCGGGTGGGTGGGTGGGATGTTTGCAAGAGCATGGGATGTGTCAAATCGTTGGTTACACGCAATTGCACCACATAGATTTCACCAGATATGTTGCCCCACCTAGGTTGCACACTACATGTTGTGTCTCGTAGAGTGTACCACATGTACTGCACAGCATCGATTGCACAACATCGATTGCACGACATAGATGGCACCACATAGTTGGTTCCGCACAGACTGCACAGCACTGCTTGCTAGAAACACACTGTTCGGGACCCACGCCGGCTAACG